GTCTCTGTCCTACAAACGGCACCGCAAATATTTTACCTGTACAAGCTGAATTCCCAAATCCTTCTTGTGGCAAGCTGCCCGCCAAATTGTGCTTGCCAACACGCTGTGACGTGTCTCTGTCCTACAAACAGCACCGCAAATCTTTTACCTGTACAAGCTGAATTCCCAAATCCTTCTTGTGGCAAGCTGCCCGCCAAATTCTAATGGGAAACTTGATGGCCTGAAAACCAGACTTTTTAACCTTTTCATATACTGATCAAGGGATGTCTGTCAGTATCTCAAAACATCTAACCTGAAGAGCTAAACGGATCCTACGTGTATGAAATATGAAAACCAGGGAAGGCAAAGCTATTACCATCCTCAAGACCCAAGTGAACACTTGCACTCCACGGAGCTTTACCTTTGTAAATCTCTCCACTAACTACATCCACACCAAGCCAACTGTCAATTTGTAGGACTGAGATTTAATATTTTAAAAGAAGTTCACAAAAAAATGCAGGAACTCAATTACAGGACAACTTTTTTCCAATATACCATGTCACCTCTTGATTCCAGTGCAAACAAAAAAGAACTGCAATGCTTGTTTCCAAACACAGATATACCACATCAAAAACACGCTTCAAAAGACACGAATAACAATCTTCTAAAATAAAATCAATCTCACATATTCTATCACTTAGAAGTTGCTTTGTCCAGCAACAAGTGGGGACAAGAGGCGAAAACTGCAAAGTCACTTCTATTTCTTTATTTTTACTTTCTGTGTCCCGGACAGACCGTGAATCTTTTTGAATTGAGGAAACTCGAACCGAAAGCAGATGGATCTGCGCGAGATGCCGCACGCTCGTCGACCCACAGCCGGACCGCAGTGAGACCTGCTCAGCCATCCCAAAGGAGCTCTCTAGAGCACATTAGACAAACCTCCTAAAACGTTTCAGGAGCTTTGGGCTGAGAACCGAAAGGATTTTTCTTAAAATGAGTAATTTCGGGAGAAGCAGAACTGACAGCGCTCCATCCCCCAGCGCTCTGACTGGTGCTGCCCCGTCCTTCCAGAGAACTCCCGATCCCATCTGGAAAGCCCCAAAAAATTCTCACAGCAAAGCCGGGAAGAGTTACCATTCCAGGATTTCCCAACGCAA